AACAAATCAGAAAGGACCAGGGTTCAGAATCTGAGGACAGGGTCAAAGTCTATGTAGAGAGGGGCTACACAACTGGACCCCTTCCCAATCCCACATAACCAAAGGACTACCATCTCCCTCCACACACATACCCATACAAGCCCTCTGAACACTGCTACCCCCATCGCCAACTCAGGAGACTGAGATTTATTTTATGAAATAGGAGAGACTTTTGATTTGAAGATATTAGTCACAGTAGTAGGAGATTGTGACAGCAGAGTTAAAAGGAGTGATTAAGTGAAAGCTTAAATACCAAACATGAAGGACCTCTTGCCTCCTTCCTCTGTCTTTTCTCCATCAGGGTATGAGGGAATACCTGGAGAAACTACACTCACCCAGAGAAAAGACTTCCAAAAACATTTGGTAAGGCGAATGGGAGGGGCTGTGATTGAAAAAGAAAATCACCCCCAGGGAAAACCACCCCAACAGTCCATAGCGTTGCTCTTGAGAGCAGAAAGCCAGCCAGGGTTTGGCAAGGGCGAAACCATGAAGAGCTTTGTATGCCATTCTGAAGAACTTTATCCTACAAGAAATCAAAAACCGTTGAAAGATGCAAAAACAATATAATATGACCAAATTTGTTTCAGGACTATCATTCAGTAGTGTGTCAAGAATTGACTAGTTAGGGGCGCCTGGGTGGCTCAGTGGGTTGAGCTGCTGCCTTCGGCTCAGGTCATGATCTCAGAGTCCTGGGATCGAGTCCCGCATCGGGCTCTCTGCTCAGCAGGGAGCCTGCTTCCCTCTCTCTCTCTCTCTCTCTCTGCCTGCCTCTCTGTCTACTTGTGATCTCTCTCTGTCAAATAAATAAATAAAATCTTTAAAAAAAAAAAAAAGAATTGACTAGTTAGAAGCTAGAGATACCAATGTGGAGCTTTCAAAGATGTAATTTCATTTCAGTTGATTTGACAGGGTAGTTACTAAATTACCTGCTAGGGAGAATGTCAAATTGAGTAATAAACTTCCAACTTTCAACAGTTATTGAGTACTTGCTATGTTCCACGTCCTCTGCTAGGTACTAGAGATAAAATGGTGAAAAGAAACATAGTTCCCTGAACTCACAGAAATTTGTCATCTAGATGTGGAGACAATTATTAATCAGAAATCATACAAATAAATGTAAAGCTACAAGTATGACAAATTTTACAACTGAAGGATGCATGGTGCTATGTGTAACCTGAAGATAAAATTGATATTCTGGTTGTCTTCCTATCTCTGATTTACCATATCGCATGGTGTAATATCCATAGGATTTGAGTGGGATTAAAACCCCAGGCTCCAAAGACAGGTTGATTTGACTCAGCCAATCAGTGCTTGAAATTCCCTGGACCTCAGATCTCTGGGTTCAAGGGTAGGCATGTGACCTATATTAGTCTAATCACAATGCAACTGGGAATACCTGAAGAAACTCCTTTTGCTGTGAAGAACTGTGGAAACTTGGGGGCTCTTGGCCACTATCTTAAGATACAAAAGGAGTTAGCCTGAGTATGAATCTGACAGAACAGAATATAGAATTGAGAGGCATAAGGAAATCAAGTTCTCGCTGATACTGTTGGGCCAATCAAATCTACCTGAGGTTCCTCTTTCCTTCTTATGAGCCAATAAATTCTCTTATCATTTAAACCACTTTGAAATGGGATTTTTGGTACTTGTGATATTCCAAAAGATATAGTCTAGATAGGGAAGTCAAAAGGGTCCTTGATGAAAGTGATAACTGTGGCAACATCTGAAGGATAAAGCAAGAATCTCCATGATATGACTGAAGGAACAAAGTTCAGACAAAAAAAGTGTCAATATTAACTTAGATCAAGTAAAACAGGTTGAAAAATGTTCAGTGGCATTATTAACATAGATATCTTAAGTTAGTTTATAAAGAGCTTCACGATGAGAGCAAGGTGTTAGGGTGGGCAGTGTGATGGAAACCAGAATGGGTTCAATTGAAGAATAAGTGGGAGGTGAAAAAATGAAGGGAGTATAAACAACTTTAACCCTTAAACAGTTTGGCTGTAAAGAGGAAAAGAAATAGGAATGTGGCTAAGAGGATATAGGTTATCAGTTTTGATGGTTTACTTAAATTGCTTAAGGAAAAAAATTTAATGTATCTTAATCACCTTAAGAAAAAAATGAGTGAATATAGCAAAAAAACTTTCATAAAAGTATTTTCATAAAAACATCTAACAGAATGGGAAGGGTGAAAGCAGAAAGTTTGACATTTCAAGGGCATGAGTTAAGTGAAATGACAACCCAGTTTACCCTATACAGATTAAAAGGATATATTTTTAAACCCTCAAGAATTAAAAAATATAACATGCCTTCCAGGGATATTGGCAATGATGGTAGATAATCGGGGCCATCACAGCTGGAAGAAAGGGTGCAATACTACTGGCATCTGATGGGTAAAAATAAGGGATGCTGCTAAACATCCTGTTTAGCATAGAATAATCTCACAAGTAATTATCCAGCCCAAAATGTTAGTGATGCAAATACTGAAAAACCCTACTCTAGGAACTTAACATCAAGTATATCAAGTATATTAGAACACCTGAAATAATTCTGGTAAATCATTTATTATTTTAGGTTGGAAACCACTGGAAATGACACATATATACATAAATAGGACAGGTTTTAAATAAACTAGGGTTCCTGTGGACAACAGTATGAACAATATGTATAGTATTCCATTATATACATGTTTAAAAATACTGGTTTCCTTATTATCCTTCTCACTACAACCTCATGACTTTGTATTTGCTTTTCTGTTTTCTCATGCTTTCTTCACTTGGGAAAATGCAAGGCTGCCTGCCTCCCTTAGAGGCCTTCCTCAATAACACCATTACCTTTCCCAAGGTCACTAAACTTTTGCTACTCTTATATTTTGGCATTAATATTTATCAGTATCTGGCATGTATTTGTTTATTGTCTTTCCATACTAGAATGTAAGCTCCATGAGAAGAGGGACCTTTTCTATTTATTCACTGTATAGAACAGTGCCTAACACATAGTTTATGCTCAACAAATATTTGAATGATTGAGTAAATGCAGGAAATAACTCCTTTTTTTTTTTTAAAGATTTTTATTTATTTATTTGACAGATCACAAGTAGAGAGAGAGGGAGGTGGTGGGGAGCGGGGGAAGCAGGCTCCCCACTAAGCAGGGAGCCCAGTGCGGGACTGGATCCCAGGACCCTGAGATCATGACCTGAGCCAAAGGCAGACGTTTAACCCACTGAGCCACTCAGGCGCCCCTGCAGGAAATAACTCTTGTTTCACAATTTTGTCCAGAGTTAGTTCTATTTGTGGGACATTAACCTCAACACATATAGTGTTAAGGTGACCTCTGTATAGTTTTCATTCCTTTAACTTACATATAACTTAACCTGTAAGTTCTTTGAGGCCAGCAACATATTATGACTTTGTTCACCCTGTCCCCTCCGCCTTGAACACCTTCCCAAGCCAAACTGCAAACTCCCACTTAGGGATCCTCTAATACCTAGTTCAAAACTTTTTATCTGTGAAGCTTCTCTGACTCAAGACAGAAAGGTTATTTTCTCTGGGCTCAAAATGCATTTGTGCACATCAATCACGGCAATTAATGGCTCTATTATTACATATAGCTCCTTGATTCAAACACATTTTCTCAAGTCCTTTATAGATCTTTCAAAAATGCGATGTATCCAGATTTTGAAATTAGAATTTTTTTTATCAGGCGTCTTTCTGTGAAAGACGTCTCACGTTTTTAGTGCATCGCCGAAGGGTGTCCACACAAATGATCTGGTCAAAACAAAACCACGTTTTGACGAAACCCCTGATAAGTAATGACTACAACCCCCAAGATGTGCGTCGTGTCTGTTTTCACCTTTCAGACTAATGGGTTGTAAAGAACTGACGACAGAGCAAGCTAGGAATTTCTTTAAAAACGTAAAGTACTCTGTGAAGAACGAACGAGGACTGAAATAAACGACTGCCCAGCACATGACTGGTATCCACAGGGGAATATTTGACAGTTAATGTGATGTTTGACAACGTGAATGCCCAGAGAATTCCTCCTCAGCTTATTCAGCGCAGACCACCTCCCGATAGATAACGCAAAAAACGCTCGTAAGAGAAACTCAAAGGTATCAAAAGAATGCTCTTAGATGTGTTAGGAAAGTAGGTCCCCTCCACTTCCCTAAACTTCTCTGAAAACTAATTTCCGAAATTACAAACACGGGAAGAGCACTGCATTTTCGCAAAGTGGAAAGTATGCTTTTCAATGGCCAGCTACCAAATGCCTAATGGTGATAGGCTTTGGCGGGAAATAAGAATTTGTCAACACACTAATGTTCCACTGTATAATCGCCTGGTGGTCCATAGAACGCTTCCTGAGATGTTTAACTCCCAACAGAGTCTACGAGTTTTAGTGGGTTTCCGGTCCCCGTAACTTCCAAGGCTCAAAGTTCCTACATATTCAAAGAAAGAAATTTAAGTTATTTTTCTCCCCTAGGCTGACAGGGTCAGCTTCCATTAAGGAGTGCGGGCACATTTCCTTCCTTTTCGCCCAGGGTTAGTCCGTCCAATGATGCGTACCTCCCAGGTATGCTTTACTTTTTCCTCAGAGCTGGGTCCCACGGCTCGTCACACACCCGGTGCAGCCAGCAACCGCTCGAAGGAAGATCCAAGCCTCCGCTCTCGCGTCTGGCTCTGAAAGGAATCTCCCAGCACCAAAGGCGACAAGGAACTCGCGAGAACCAACCACTCGGCCGAGATCCCGCGCCAGCAGGCGGGACCCAGAAAAGAGGAAGTCGCACTTAGACCCTCCCACTTAGATCCTGTACCCCGCCCGCCTCGCGAGAACACGGAGCACCGCAAGCTCGGGAAGCGCGTGCGGAAAGCCGAGGCATCGCGCATTGGGCTCGTCGGCCGCCGTAGCCCCTGCTAGGACAGCCCGTGCGAGCCTGCTGGAGGAGGAAGAGAAAGGCAGAGAGAATCGGGTTACAAGATGGCGGATCTGTAGTAGTTACCGCGGCGGCGGCGGCGGCGGCGGCGGCGGCGGCGGGAGAGCGAGCTCTGGGGGGCAAAGGGAGTGGAGGGTGGGCGTGTGCGGAGGTGAAGTGAGAGGTTACCGGGACTCCGGGCGGAGAGGTCTTGGTGACTCTTGTTGCCCCTTCCCGCGACTGAATCTTGGGAGCCATGGTGAACTCGGGCCTCTCCGTGGCCGCCGCCGCCGCTGCCGACAGCGCCGCAACGGTCTCTCAAGAGTGAGGGGTGCGGACGAGGTGAGCGAGGAGGCGGTGGCCGGGGCGGTGGGGACAGCAGCCACCATGTCGGATACGCGGCGGCGAGTGAAGGTCTACACCCTCAACGAAGACCGTCAGTGGGACGACCGAGGCACCGGGCATGTCTCCTCCACTTATGTGGAGGAACTCAAGGGGATGTCGCTGCTGGTTCGGGCTGAATCCGACGGTAAGGTTATTGGAACATAAGATAGGGGGCAATCAGTGCCTCCGGTTTGGGCACAGCCCTGGTGTTTAGGCCCTGGGCCGGGTACGGTTACTACCACATCTGGGGACGGCGCATTGGTTTTGTGCCTGCACTTCTGTACGGTAAAAAGAAACTACTTTGTCCGGATTTACCCTCAGTCAAACGTTGATTCTGTTCCCCCGCCTCCTGTCCCTATTAAGGATTTGACCCCTTCCTCTCCAGTCTTCGCCTTTGAGTGAAAACGGAGGAAGTAATGAGAGACAGAATAGTTTTCTTCTCGTCCTAGGGAGCTGACCCTTCCCCTCCCTTTATTTTTTTGTTTTCTTATCCATTATATGTCTATTTCAAAAAGCTTAGTGAAACTTTACTTTCTGAGTGGACTTTTTTTTTAAGCCCATTTTTTAAAAACCCGCTTGCCCCAGTCGACAGGTGCTGGGGAAAACCAAAAAGCACCTTTTCCTGCAGTTATTGCAGACTGTTGCCACGATACATGCACGCACAAGCATATCTGTAGTCTAGGATCCCCCCAGGCTGCCTTTGTAGAGGTTGCCATGAAAAAGTGGGTGCTTTACAACCTAAACAAGTTAGGACACCAGTACAGATTGTAAACTTAAATCCGTTGGTTTATTGTACGAGTCATATGTGAAGTATTTTAATTATAAAATGTAGAGCGTAATGAAAACCTTTCTCACTGTAATCTGAACGCCTCGATTTGAGCAGTTATGTGCAGATAATAGAAAAATAACAATCTTAGATTTATTCTTGTACTTTGTGCTCTTTACCTTTTGTTTTGAATAGGTATGGACATTTATTTCTATATGAAGTGTCCTTCATTTTGTTAAGGAGTAAAGCAAAAATGCCGTTCTGTTATTTGTGTACTAAGTACTTAGATTCCTGTTGTGGTCCTTTGTAATTTGTTTTGTTAAACTGAAAATGCAATAAAATAACTTTGTTAAAAAGAGCTTGGCTTCAAGTAGTCATTTAGACCTCAAAGTTTTCATTTCAATAAAACTTTAATGGACATCTAGTCTCCTTATATTTTGGGTCTGAATGTTGATCTTAGATGGTTTTTTTTTCCTCTAAGGGTTATATATGGGGGATAAGATGGTGTGTTCTATATAAAGCACAGATCTGAAGAGAAGAACATGAATCAGAATACATTTGATTACTTCACATGTCTAGCTAGGGGAAGAGAACAAGTTTTTTTCTTTAAATTCATATTCAGATATTTTATTCAGAATTTTACAAATTGAAACTTACAAATATTATTTTTTATCTTTCAGGATCACTACTCTTGGAATCAAAGATAAATCCAAACACTGCATATCAGAAACAACAGGCAAGTAGTTGTTTATCTTTAATTTGAAAGACTTCATCTGTGATCAAGGAAGTATTAATCTGACAAAGATGGGAAAGCTTTCCTGACAAGAAAAAACATGTTTGGTAAACAGAGTTACACATTCTATGTATTTCCCTGTAGGTCAAAAGTTTCAAACTGAGAAAGTGAAAGTTTTTGTACTGGCAGTAATTTATTGTCTTTGAATTGAGCCACTGTTGGTTTATGTTAGAATACAGTGTATTCATTGGTCTTATTTACAGAGTCAGGTATCTTTTTTACCCTGTATACTAAGCCTTTTATTCTCAGTCACATTGAAGGAAATGACATAAAAGAAAATTAAAAGGGGTACTCTATAAAGCAAGGAAAGCCTTTGACTCAAGCAAAGGTAGAGTTTTTGAAATAGAAGCACGTAAATCCTGTTCTTTAATTGTGTATTTTTAATATAATCAGTGGATACTTTATAAAAAGTGTACATTGCCAATCATGTAATATTTTCTGTTAATATTTATTGTCTTATTTGGGAAAAGAAAACCTGTGTTGTGTTTTAGTGTGCCCAGTTACTTAATCTGGAAATGGCAACAGTGATTCGACCTATCTTCTGTGAATGTTTTCATTTTTATCATGGAAGATTTTAAAATTGATAAGTATAGAAAATGTGTGTCTGTGTAACACCACCAAATTTAACAATGTTAACATTATACCTTGTTTGTTTCTAATTTTTGTAATGTTGAACACTGTGGATAGAGTTAAAGCCCCCTTTGTGCCCATCTCATTCTATCCATTCTCCATCCTTTATAGGTAACCACTATTCTGAAGTTGCTGTATTATTTCTGTATATGCTTATATACCTTATCTGCATATGTATGTATCCATAAATGATATGTAGTGTTTGTGTGTTTTTAAATTTTACACAGTTGATCTCATGCTCTTACATGTACTCTGATTTTACACTCAGCAGTTAATTGGAAGATTTGTTGATGTTAACAATGTAGATTTAGGTTTTTTTAAAACTGTATAGCATTCTTCTTTTATGATATACACCTATTGTTAGACATTGGGATTATTTCCTCTGTGTGTTTGTGTGTGTGTGTGTGTGTGGTGTGTAAAGTGAGTATGACAGATCTTTGAAGGAAAAGATAAATTATTTTAGTATTATGTTTACGTCATCAATACGTACTTCAAGTTCAATGAAAATTTGGATGCCCAGAAATACTTCACAGTTGGAAGAATGAAATCATGTCTGTTGCACAGCTCGTTATTAGTAAAGGTCTAACTGTTAAACAATTTTTTTGTGTATGCAATACATTCTTAATCATGTCTTTGAAATATTTCAATTTTCAATTAATAATTTTTTTCCTTCTGCTTAGAAAGTACTGCATGTCTTTGATGGAGAATCAAATTAAACATTTGTCCTGTATTAAACACCTGAAAAATGTTTCCTATACCTTACACATTTAAGTAAATTTAATTTCTAAGTCAGCCAAGCAGATGGTTATTCTCTGTCTTTGCATGGAATTTTACCAGGTAGCTACTTCTGTTTTATTTTTTGTTGGCCTCCTTTTTTGTGGGGAAAGAAATAACTGTTTTGTTATCTTTTTTCCCCCTATCTGCACAAATATAAAATTCTCAGAAACTGTTTTCTTAAATGTGACTTCCTACAAATTAATTATAATATGGGTTCTTCTCAGATTGTGTATAAGATTCTTTAACTGTTGTTACTATCAGATCACATGTGGTGGAGGTTTGTGTATAAAATAGCCCTCCAACATTTGTCCACAAATACATGATGTTTCATTAAGGACTTTGGAACATGATTTTCTGTGTAATATTACTCTGCTCGAAAACTTAAGTATTGGAGAAAAAAGTACTTATTTTTAAAACTTTATGCTATTGGGAAAAATGATTTCTGTAATTAATCATATTTCAATAATATACTATTGGATTTTTAAGTATTTTTTTTCTAACTGAATTACCTTTACCAAATAACATTAAACTATAAGAGAACTTTGTGGCACTGAAAATAATATGGAAAAGCTTTGTATTTAAGATTGAAAAATGTGTAATTGGGGTCACTTGTTTTGTTTTCTTTATTTTTATTTAAATTGAGTGCACTTTTCTAATAGAATCAAAGAGCAATTTAGGAATTCTCTTAAACTTAGTTTCTTTGTTATGGATATGGTTTTTTCATTTTTTTTCACCAAAATCTTGTTCAGTTTGCACTTTTTACCAGATGATACAAATTGGGATTTCCAAAACACAATGATGTTTTTCTGTGTTCATTAGAATTACTTTTTAAATGTCATTGTTTAAGTTATGCAGTATATTGGTCCAGAAAATAACCATTTCCAAAGATTATATGAAATATATGAATCATTCTGGGTTTTAATTTTAAAAAGACTTGAGTGAATGAGAATGTTCATAGTTGGTATTTTGCTACAAAATACATTGAATAAATTCAAAGCAGACTATTTAAGATTCTTTTTTAACATTGCAGTTCTAAAATGAGCCAAATTCTGAATGATGGGCTCAAAATAAGTTAGAATGAGTTGAATTGGGATGTCAAATGACCCCATATCGATAGGTCATCATTGAGTCACAACACTTTCTTGCTTCAGTACTGTGGACTATAGTGAAGTTGTTAATGGGAAGAAGATAAACTTAAAGGAGCCAATAAACTTGTTAAGTGTTTAAATACTTTGGAAACAAGAGAATGATGATATAGTAGAACATGAAAATAGTGTCTGATACATGTCAAAATTTTAAGTTATTTAGAATCCATCCTATGGATCTTGACTAAATCAAAAGCAGAGTCATAGAGATGTATACCTTTCATATTTAGTACAGTTTTAATACAATTTGTGTTAATTGGGTTTAGGAAAGAAGTACAAGGAAGTCCCAATCTTGGTTTTATTGGGAGATAAGATATAACAGGTGAAACAATTAATGTATCGATAATAAACTATCTGATAAAGGGTTTTAACCCAGTCCTTACTGAAAGCCCATGAAAGCATTTAACAGATGAGGCAGTTAGGGCACAGAAAATTCAAGTTTCTTGACTGAGATTTTACAGCAGGTATGTACCAACACAGAATTTATATAAAGCAGTTTCATTCCACAGACTTGGACAGTAGAAAATTTTAAAAAGGAGAGATTAATTTGAGCTAGAATTTTTAAGAAAAATTTCACTCTCCTTGATGGTGTCTGTTGAAGGAATTGTGATAGGGAAGGAAATAGTACACCTGACACAAAAGTTTTATTAAGGCTCTTGACAGCAGAGGTTTCTTATTTGTGAGCTTGGTTTACTAAACAAAAGGGAGTTATTCTAGATTCTTGAGTAGGGGCCTAACATGATGAAAATGTTACTGCGTTTAGGAAGCAAGTGTGGCAATGTTATGAATAATGAATTGGGGGTAGAGAGGAAATAAGAGCTTTAGGAAGCAAGACCTTTTAACTATAATTCAGATGCAGGAAAATGAAACACTGTTCAGTGTAGTAAATGGAATTGTAAAGAAGAAATAGAGCTCCAATATATTAACAAGAAAGTGCTGGAAGATTTGGAGAATGATTAAATATGACAGAGAAGGAATCAAGAGTCACTAGTAGTGTTTTCAGTCTTGGGGCCAGGGAAATGATGGTTCTATCCAGAAACTGAGAAGGTGACAAGAAGGCAGGTCATTTGGCTAGTGGCTTGTTCATTTCAAAAAAGCAAAAATCCCTCTTTGTTTATTTTGGATAGATAATACATTCACATCTTTAAAAATTTAGAAAGTATTTGGTGAAGTCTCTCCCACCCTGAACTCCATCCATAGTTTCCCTTGCTAGAGGCCACCAGTATGCCAGTTTCTTGCATTTCTTCCTAGAGGTTTTATGCATGTGTAAACAAATAGGTATACAATCACATACACATTTTCATAAATGCATAAATGCATTGCGTAAATGATAGCATACTATATACTGTTCTGTTATCTTTGGTTTGGATTTTTATTTTTTTCACCCCTTCTCCACCTGTGGTTTATATTTTTAAAATTGAAAAGCTTTTGAATATTTTCAGTAGAAGAATGACATGATCCAAACTAGTAACATCAGTGTGTGGAATTGAAGAGAGGCAATAACTGGGAGAGTAGTTGAGAGATCACAGCATAATCCAAGCAAGATATAATGTTGAACTGGGTTAGGGTGATGTCAGTGAAGATGGAAAGAGGCGGATGGATTTGAGATATGTGTATATATAGAAGATAGAATTGACAGGACATGCTGCTGGGTTAGGTATTTGGTAATCAGGAAGAAGATCTAGTCAAGAGGAAGAATAAGCAATTGGAACGAGTAGAGAATCAGGAAAGCGTGTTGTCCTGAAACCAAGGGAGAACAGAATTTTGTTAAGGAGAGGGGCAGTCAATGAATGGCTGTTCAGATCCTTCAAAGGTAAGATTGAGACTATTCTAGGTTTTAGCTAGAAGAACATTTGCCAAGATAAAGGTGGAGGTGAAAGTTTTGAATGCTGAGTTAAAATAACAGCATGGGTTTGCAATGAGTAGAGTCTATTCTAGCTATAGATCACAAGCATGAGTGGAGGACGTGAATTAATAGGTTGGGAAGGTTGGGCAGTAATAGATAGAGGAATGTTCTGGGTGGTGTTTTGGAATGGGACTAAGGAGAAATCCTTGGAAATCAGATGAAGGGGGTTCTTACATAGGAGTCCAGATAGATGCCTAGATAAATACAGTTCCTCTGGGCGGGAGGTTAGGAAGCAAATTATTGAGAACTTTGTGTTCTTTTAGAATTGTTTATATTTTTTATGGGGCATAGTAGGAGGGACATGGGTTTAGAGCTGAATACTGTTAATTAAGTTTTTTATTTCATTATTTCAAATTTCCTGAGCAAATTTTCTTTGAATCTTAACTTTTAAATGAAGATACTACCTACGTCATGTAATAGTTGTGAATTAATGTATGAAAATGCTTTAGCATGGTATGTGACAAATAAGCTCAATAAGAGAACTGTAGTCATAATAATCTCATCAGTCGTACTCCTCTTTTCCAATGAAGAAAGAAAAATCAAAGAGGTTAAATACTGTGTTGAGTCATGGAAATAGTGGACAGTGAAACTGAGTGGTGCTCAGGTCCTAATGCAAGTCTGGGGTTATTCCCATTATATCCAAATATATTTGGATTTTAGGAAGATACTAGTATTGTTTTTAGCAATAGCATCATGTCTGTCTTAGACTGTATCTTATACCATACTATATTTTAAAAATCCATCTCAGAATAAGTTGAGGTCAAATACCCATTAGAAGCTACTAGAGAACTAGATGTTGCATCATATGTCTGGTTAATCACACTTATTTTCAGACTTCTAAATTGATTTTGAATCTGCAAATCGAAGTCTACAAATCTGACTATTTCTGTTCTCCCTTTTAAAAAAATAAGCGATCCTTTTGAAAAACTTCAGCTCTGTCTGTATTGAATTTCATCAGAGTCGTTGGGGCAAAGATAGGGTCTGACAGGCAGTAGGATCTCAAATATTTCATGAGTGGATTTCATTCATGTTAATGCACTAGAGAGGTAAACTGACACTGATAATCCATTGGTCTGTTAGACTATTGTATATGTGTCACAGGTGGCTTTGTGAGTATAATGTAAAACCTAGAGACCCTTTCCATAGAAAAGATGTTAAAAGCACCCAGTTTTAAATACAATTCTATGGTATGATTTAGACCTTGAATTAAGAACCTTTGATTTAAACAGTTTCACCTCAAGAATGTATTTTTAATATTTAAGATCAGAAGTGACCATTTTTATAATAAAACTACATTGTAAAAATCTGATTCAGTAAAAGCTAAATTATCAAGCCTCTCCAGCTCATGTCTTAACTTCCATCCTGGTGTTAGACTTAATCACCTTTCTTACTTTTTTAAGGGACCGGACCAAATAAAACTGACTTTTTCTATTCTCCCTGCAGGCTCATTTTAAATCTGATTTCCATGGGGATATAGTGGTGGTTAAATGTTTAGTTGGTAGAGAAAAACTCTTAAGCTTCTCTTAGATTAAACAGGCTTTAATAATGTCACAAAGATTTGTGTGTCACACACAAATGAGCAAAAAATATAATACAAAGGGCACAGCATTTGGAAACAGACATTACCTCTAAAACTGAGCTTGACTTTGGGATATGTAAGAAACCCTGCCTTTTGACACTTTTTGTTTTGTTTTAAATGTTCTTATGCCACCTTTGTGCTCTCTTACCTAGGAGCTTTTACTGTGATCTTTGTGATAAGCAGTTATTAGAAGTACTTCTTAGGGTTTTTTGTTTTGTTTTTGTTTTGTTTTGTTTTGTTTTGTTTTGTTTTGTTTTGTTTTGTTTTTAATTGAAATAGTAGGTTTCCAGGGAGGGGAAGAGGAAAGGATGGGATTTGTAACCCATTTTCAGTAGATTTTATAGAGCTGGAAAGTGCCTGCTCTGATGGCACAGTTCCCTATCCTCTGTAACCAGCCAGAGATAAACTTAGGTAATGTTTTCAAATTTGACTTACCAAAAGAATTATCAGAGACCCTTGTTAAAAATAAGAATTTGGGGCTTCACTCCAAGGGAGCATAGGAATTTGTATATGAAACCATCACCCAAGGTCAGTCCTCTTTATATTGAAAAAGGATTCTGAATATAAATCCCATTTAGTTTCTGGGGTTTTGACTGGCTTAGGGAGAAGACTTTACATTAAGAAGAAACAAACAAGAAAATTTTGAAGAAGGGGACTTAATTACCTTAAGTCAGACTTGATAGCTTACTGGGACTTCTGCTCAGAAGATTGGAAAGGGCCCTGGGTGCTTGGATAAAGTATTCTGGATTTCATCCTGTTGTACTAGTGATCTCTAAGATGGAATGCACATTATATATAAAGCTTTGAGATTTGAGAAGAAGCCTGCTTAAATATTTTAATCAAAAGAAGAAATTTACTTTTGCTAATACTTAATAAGCAAATGGTCAGAAGTTTAAAAAAAAAAAATAGACATGGTATTCTAAAAGTAACACTTCCATAAAAAATGTTCCCTAACTACTGTGAATTACAGTAGCCTGCATGTGTAGATAACTACTTACAGATATTTTCCAATTTAAGCTGACCTGTAACCCTAATAAAATGAACATATGCCTTAAAAAGGCCTGAAAGCAATAATGTAAGTAGAAATGAACATGATAACGGTAAAACTGACATCTATACTCCTTGTTAATCTGTCAGCAAGTAATAACTCAAAAACAATGGTAAAATCTCTCAAAGCTGCCTGTGTGGCTCAGTTGGGTGTAGATGCCTTCAGTTTGAGTCATGATTTCAGGGTCCTGGGATGGAGCCCCATGTTGGGTTCCCTCTGCCTCTGTTCCCTGATTGTGTGCTCTCTCTCAAATAACTCTTTAAAAAAAAAAAATAGATCTCACAAGAAGTTGCTCTTCCCCCCAAATTCAGAATTATTAGAATTAAATTATTAGAATTATTAGAATTAAATACAGATTTGTATCTACTGTCATTTGTGTGTATATACTGTGCCCTAAGTGTATATTGGGTCTTAAAATGCTGACTAATAATGGTATGGAGCCCAAACAGTTCAAACGTTTTTAAATGATGCTTATTTTATCTTTATATAAAGGCTTTTATTTCTATTTTAGTGTATGTTTTATAGAGTATTGCTGTACTAATATTCCTGAGTGTAATGTATAAATAGTTCAAGACATACAAATAGAGTACTGGAGATTGCTGTTTGATGAAGCTGTTTGAAGGAGAGCTCTAAGAAGTTGACTCGGGTTGAGTAAAGTACATGAGCCTGAGTGTGTTTCCTAGACCTTTAACCAGAGGAGCTTTGTCTTTATATCTTCTTTATTACTTGAAGATTCTTTTTTTTTTTTTCTTTTTTTTTTTTTTAAGATTTTATTTATTTATCTGACAGACAGTGATCACAAGTAGGCAGAGAGAGAAGAGGAAGCAGACTCCATCCCTGGACCCTGGGATCATGACCTGAACTGAAGGCAGAGGCTTTAACCCACTGAGCCACCCAGGCACCCCTTGTTACTTGAAGATTCTTAGTAAAAGTTTACTTGTAAAAAGAGTTCTGCTGGGTTTTTTTTTTTTTAATGTTTCAGAACCTCTTCTGTATATGGCAGGAGCCACAGAAAGTTTTTGTTTTATTTTTGAAGGTGAAATACATTTTTCTTTGTTACACAGCTAGAAAATGTAGAATTTTTTAAAATATTTTTATTTATTCATTTGAGAGAGAGAGTGCAAGCAGAGGGGAGATGTAGAGGGAGAAGCAGGCTCCCTGCTGACTTGGGAGCCTGATGTGGGGCTTGATCCCAGGACCCCAAGATCACAACACAAGCCGAAGGCAGATGCCCAACCAACTGAGCCCCCCAGGTGCCCCACGGAAAGTTTTTAAATGGAAGGAGTTACCTGATAAAATTTTAGAATATGTGGTTAGCAAATTTTCCTTCCAAGGAGCACAGCCAGGCAGAAGAGAGAACACAGTTTTCCAGCTGTTTTTCTTACCTGATTACACAGCAAATAAGTATTAATCTGAGACCTGGATTAATCGAAGGATATTTTTCCTTTACAGATTAAAGCTATCAGAGTTTTAAAGTGCTTTGATTTTGAAGACGTTGTTTATCTGAGACTCCTTTTAGTATTACATATTTTAATATCAAGTCACAATATTTAGAAGTATTAGATGAACAATTATTAGTTATAAGGTATTTTTGTAGATTATATACTTGGTAATTAGGATGTAAACATGTATATTTTCTTTTTTTTTTTTTTTTTTATTTTTTAGGATTTTATTTATTTGACAAAGAGAGATCACAAGTAGGCAGAGAGGCAAGGGGGGGGTGGGGGCGGAGGAGGAGGAAGCAGGCTCCCTGCCTAGCAGAGAGCCCGATGTGGGACTCCATCCCAGGACCCTGAGATCATGACCTGAGCTGAAGGCAGAGGCTTAACCCACTGAGCCACCCAGGCAGCCCCATATATTTTCTTTTTTTTTTTTCTTAATGTGTATTTTCTGAAAGTCAAAGTTTTAATCATACTAAACTTTCGTTGTTACATATCCTTAAAAAAACTGTCCATTTCATTGAGTGTTGCATAATGATTTTTTGCGTTTAGATGTGTCTGTGTTTTAATTTAAACCCAAACTTTGGTTTTTAATAAAGGGGTTGACAACTTTTTCCTAAAAGCTTAACTGACTTTTTGTTAGTGATACAATTAAGGACATTAGTAGAAAAACACCTAAACCCTGGGGTTCTTAATTTCTTTACAAACTAAGCTGCTGAAGTGTTGGTAATACTTAGAGCTAGAGTATATTCATTGCATCATTGTTTTGAATTCTTTCATATCTTGAAGGCTTTTCCAGATTCAGAGGAGAGAGGCAGTAGAGGATTCAAATGTCTACATTACAGCTTGGCCAAGAGTGGCTAAATTTTCCACTCGACATTATCTTGGTAACCTGAGCTAGAGCCTGCTAAGTTCTATGTTTTAATATTTTATATTAAATAAATTTATATTAAAAACACATAAATAAAAGTATATATTTTAATATTTAATAAGTAATAATACTTTTTGTTTCAGAAAATAGCTCAATGTCATTTTAATACCCAAACTGTTCCATTGCCAGTATATTACTAAGTTTCAAAGGCTAGCAAAATACAGTTACGTTATGTCAATTGAGTGTACTTTAATTACACTCATCAGAGGGCATTTGTCATCACTATGCTTTTTCCTGTTCTCTTGATGTCTACTTCGTAGTTACTTCTTTTTTAGCTTTTCTAGTGTGATGATGTAAAAATCTTTATTTTTAAACAGGATACGTTAATTGTTTGGTCGGAAGCTGAGAACTATGATCTGGCTCTAAGTTTTCAGGAAAAAGCTGGCTGCGATGAGATTTGGGAAAAAATTTGTCAGGTAAGGTTTTTTAAATAATACTAGTTTAAGTTTGCATTCTTGACTTTTTTTTCTTTTTTACCTGAAAGAATATATTAGAATGTGGAGAGAGCATGTATTTATCACTTTAAAGTTTAATAGAATATATTCATAATTAATAAAAGGTTAGTAAATAATTAAGTTCTAAGTCTTTGAGGTTTTTCTTTAAAATTTGGTCACCTGCTTGCCTAATGTTTATGAATACTGTGTGCCAGACACTAATGATTGAAAGTGCTCATGACTTCAATTCTAAAAGAATTTATAATATGGCAGAATATAAGATAGGTGGTAACTCTCAGGTACCTGGAACTTTTTTTTTTTTTTAGGATTTATTTTTAGAGAGGGATAGAGGAAGCACACAGGTGGAAGGAATGGCAGGAGAGAAACTCTCAAGCAGTCCCCACACAGATCCCAACATAGGGCTCAATCCCATAACCCTGAGATCATGACCTGAGTTAAAACCAAGAATCAGATGTTCAACCCGCTGTGCCACCCAGGCACCCCTAGCTCTTTTTTTTTTTTTTTAACTGGTTTTTATTTTAGGGGCCCCTGGGTGATGCAGTCAGTTAAGCATCTGCTTTCAGCTCAGGTTATGATCCCAGGGACCTGGGATCAAGCCCTGCTTCATGCTCCCTGTTCAGCCAGGAGCATGCTTCTCCCTCTCCCTCTGCTCCCTGCCCCCAGTGCACCCTCACACACTCTGTGCATGCTTTCTTTCTCTCAGTAAATAAATCTTAAAAAGGAAAGTTTTAATTTTAGAAGTTCAGATTTATAGAAAATACGAGTAGAAAATACAGAGAGAGTTCCTATGTACTTTATTCCCTGACACCTTCTCCTCCAGTTCTTCCTGTTAATAGTCTCTTGTATTTGTAGGATACACTGGTCATAATTGATGAGTTAATATTCATACGGTGTTACTGTTCATTATTATTATTACTCATACATTATTATTAGCTAAAGGCTATCTTTTATTCAGATTTCCCCAGTTTATTTATTTCACTTATTTTCTTAGATAGAGAGTGTATACAGTTGAGCATAGGAGGGGCAGAGAGGGAGAGAGAGAGAGAGAGAATCTTATGCAGTCTCCATGTCCAGCATAGAGCCCAACTCGGGGCTCAAGTTTCCGACCCTGAGATCATGACCTGAGCTGCAATCAAGAGCCAGTTGCTTTAACCAGTTGAGCCACCGATTGAGCCACCCAGTCATCCTAGTTTTTCTCAGTTTAAGATGTAGTGTCCTTTTTCTGTTCCAGGATTCCATTCAGTATACCATACTACATTTAGTAGTTGGATGTCTCCTTAGGCAGATACAGTCTGTGACAGCTGGTAACTGGAATTTTAAATGAACCATAGCATTTTAACTATTATTTTCTATAAATTGGATCACTTTTTCAGCAGTTGCCTAGTGTAATATTCTGTTCTAGTGTTTTTAACTCTTGTCATTTTCACTTCTATCAGCTTTTCTTTATAGTGATTCTGATTACTGAAGGTTCTTGAATAAGTTTTAATGCATCTGACCACAGTAATTGTTTTCCTTAGTCTTCTCAGTAACATTGCCACACAGTGCAAGAAAGTATAATATGAACCTTCTCATTCTATATAAAGCTTATTTAATGGCTGGCTCTAGGTCACAAATCTAAACTGGAAGTAGATGGTTTGTTTCTTTCCACCTCATATCTTACTAGGTATGTATCAGATATTAATGGAGCATTATTAGTATGCACTATTAAATAGAAGAATTTCCATTGATGAACAGGTGAAAACACTGGTAAATATGATTTTGCTAAATATGTATATTTAAAATATACATAAGAATATAACACAGATTGTTTTGTTATTATTTTGCCTTTGTATTTTGCCTGTCTTTAAACTTATGGGCGGTGATGATGAGAAGGTCCTAATACTTATTCTTGTTTGCTCTCCGCAAGATTGAGATTGAATTTTATGTTTGCCAAGTTTTCTGTAAAGTGAGATGTAAGACTTAAAAATGATCTCTGTTGCAGATTCAGACACATGCAGTCCACAAAAACTTGCTGCTCTGTTCTGGATTCAGGAAACCTTAATCATGCATGCATTCATCTATAAAATGAGGGGAAAAAACTGGTCCATGAAAATAATGAAAGCATACTGAAGGATATAAAACTTCAAAAATAAAAAAGGGAAACACTACTGTTCAGAATATTAATAGTATAGGGGCACCTGGGTGGCTCAGTGAGTTAAAGCCTCTGTCTTCGGCTCAGGTCATGATCCCAGTGTCCTGGGATCGAGCCCCACATCAGGCTCTCTGCTCGCCAGGGAACCTGCTTCCTCTTCTCTCTCTTCCTGCCTCTCTGCCTACTTGTGATCTCGTCTGTCAAAGAAATAAATAAAATAAATCTTTTTTAAAAAAAGAATATTAATAGTATATAAAGATTAAACTTTTTATTATAAGTTCCTGAAAAGTGATACTTTGTTTTGTAATCTCCCTCCTCCAATAGTGTGGCAACTGGCACATGTTGTGTGTGTGCTCAGTACATATTTAAAGAATGAATGAATAAGATAGAAGATAAACATCTTACTTAGAACTGGGATGTTAGGGGTTCCTGGGTAGCTCAGTCAGTTAAGCGGCTGCCTTCAGCTCAGGTCACGATCCCAGAATCCTGGGATTGAGTCCCACATCGGCCTCCCTGCTCATTGGAGAGTCTGCTTCTCCCTCTGCTTCTTGCCCTCCCCCTGCTTGTGCTTGCTCTCTGTCTCTCACTTGCTCTGTGTCAAATAAATAAAATCTTTTAAAAAAATAAAATTAAAAAAAGAAGTAGGTTGTTGGATTACATTTCTCCTGGAACATATATTTATATGGTGGATGATATTTCAGCATATTACATTATGCCTACTCCCCTCCCACACATCAGCATGTACTGTTTAATATTAATTCCTGGATCTATATATATTCTGAAGATTTGGTACTGAAGACTTGGTACATTTGTCCTGGAAAGTTTTGCTGAAATTTGTTTACTATTTTTCACTCATGTTTTTCAGGAGTTCCCACAGCCACTGTCGGATTCACTTTTTTTTTTTTTCTTTTTTTTTTTGGTGAGAAAGACTCACAAAACTCCACAAAGCTGTTATATTTATCATTATAGTTTATTACAATGAAATGATACAGATTAAAATTACCAGTGGGAGAAGGCACATAGGGCAAAGTCTGGGGCAGTTCCAGGCTTGAGCTTCCAGTTTTCTTTCCAGGATTCTTATGCAGACAGCACTTACTTCCAGCAATGTTGTGTGGCAACCTGCACATAGTATTGCTGACCAGAGAAGTTTACCCCAACCTTTGTGTCCAGTATTTTCATTGGGTGTTAGTCCTATAAGCAGGCCGACTGCCCTGACTTTAGTTTCCAGCACCTCCACAGGTTGAGCTGATATTGTGTGGTCCAAGACCTCCACTATAAACCACCTAGTTACCCACACACAGAATGTCTGGCATAGCCTAGTGCTCCCAGGTGAACAGAAAACACTCATGTCAGACAGGATATTAAAAGTGCTTAGAGGTTACCTCTCAGGAGTTAGGCAAGAGCCAGATCTTTTCTTTAGGCAAGACTAATCCTTAACTGCAAAAGCCACCCCTTGCCAAGACTCATAGCAAAATGATTATATTTGTCTAAGCATCTATATTTAGTATAGTATTTATATCACAGAGCAAATATCAGTATGAATATGCCTAATATTTAGAGGAGCCATTTTAGGGTAGGGATATATTTAAAGAAACAGGTTGTCTGATAAAGCCATGATTTACTTTTTTTTTTTTTAAGATTTTATTTATTTATATGACAGAGATCACAAGTAGGCAGAGGCAGAGAGAGAGGAAGGGAAGCAGGCTCCCTGCTGAGCAGAGAGCCCGATCCGGGGCTCGATTCCAGGACTCTGGGACCATGACCTGAACCGAAGGCAGAGGCTTTAATCCACTGAGCCACCCAGGCGCCCTGCCATGATTTACTTTTTTATATATTTCATATTGATTACTCATTTTCCTCCTTGATTTATTGCAGTTTGTACCTTATGATAAACTTGTACAGAAGTATTTAGCATAGAAATCAACTGACAGTTAACAAAATCCATTTTTTCCTTGTGCCAGTCATTTTCTATCAGCATTGATGTTGAGGAGACTTTAACTCAGTTTCCCAGTATTAATATTAGAGTAAAATTATGAGGCTTATGTACCTAAGGTAGTGGGAGCAACAGTGCTAGTATTATACCATATTGCAGTATGGTTGTAGATGTAACCTGAAAAGGAGGAGTCTGGCACGTTACTAGAATCGTTAACAGTCATTAACAGTTGTTTCAGTTCATCAGGTTGATTTACAGGCCTCCATTCAACCTTGTTAAGTCCCAAGAATAGGTGATTTTAGCAAACATATGGCTTTTACCCTTCAAGCATCTGATACAGTTGAGCTAAGAGAATATCATCTCTTGCTCCAATCCCTTCTTGAGGGTCTAGTGTTAATATTGGATTTATCTTGTTGCTTTACCCATTTGTTCATTCCTTTGCACTTGGTTACTATTTCTTCCTGTATGTCACTGATTTTTACTCACACTTTTTTATCTTTGGAAGGGATGTTAGATTTGGCCACTCTGCTGGTCCAGGAAGCTTAATTTTGTACTAAACTACTGAGTACTGTGCTTTTTTTCAATTTTTTAAAGATTTTTTAAAATTTATATGAGAACGAGAGAGCATGAGTGGGTTGAAGGGAAAGGGAGAAGCAGACTTGTTGAGCAGAGAGCCTGACATAGGGCTCGATCCCAAGACCCTGTGTTCATGACCTGAGCCGAAGGCAGATGCTTAACCTTCTGAGCCACCCAGGTGCCCCATGTACTGTACGTTTTAAATGCATGTTGCTGAATATACATTTAGTTTATCGCTTCTCACAACTGCCTGGTATTCCACAGAACCATATGCTGTTTTACTTTCCATTTCTGAGACGTCATTGCTGACCTTTGAAAAAACAACTTTAATTTCAATAAAAATCATATTACTCAGTCACTTCTTAACTCCTTATAGTGAGAAAGTAAAACAACTCTGAAAAGTATGATAGCTCAAGGACAATAAATTTCTTAAGGGGAGTGGTGAATAATAGTAATTGTTTTTGTCTTAGATAAAGATTTGTTACTAGTCATTAGAGTCCTTCACTTTCTAAACATTGATACCATATTTTGAATTGTCCCTTTGGTGGGGCAAGGCACCACTGTAAGATTTAGAACAGGGAGATGTGTGCCTGTGTGTCACAAATGGGTGAAGGGCAGCCGTGACAGAAGGAGGGAGAGGATTGAGCATGGCATGTGGGAAAGCCCATAAGGCCACACAAAGATGCAACCAGTCACTCTACTTATGTCTCTCTGAGCTGTTACCATAGAGTCCCAGGGTATAAGTCGCTGGTACCCACCTTGGCCCTCATTAGTGCTTAATGCCCCAAAAATGTGGGGTCTCTGTTAGGTCCCTATAAATTTTTTGGCTTCACTCAGATTCTTTTATGTGTGGAAGAACTTATAAAAAGAGCTAAGATAATTTCTGTTTATGTAGCTCTTAGAAAGCATAAAGTCAAAAGTACATATGGAAGCATTAACCTCAGAAAATGGGAGGGTAGGGACATTTTTTTTGGAAAGAAATTAAGAAAAAGTGAAAATAAGTTGTGAGATGAAGAAGGGTGTTAGTACGTTAAATAACAGTGGTCTCTTTTTTCAAAGGAAAAATTCTGTCTCCTGAGATTTAAAGTAGAAAGTAATAGTGTTTGACACTTAAAAGGGGGGAAAAATTAGAGCAACAGCTGTAAGGAAGTAAGCTAGAAGTGTGGAAAAGAAATTTCTGTTGAGAACCCTACTGATAGTGTAAATTTTTTTTAAACACACTCAGCACAATTAGTTGACAGACTCATGCCATAGTTGGATGACTGATTTGTGCCACAGAAGGGAGAATGTTAAGGTCCGATTGTGTTATATTAAGTAACAAATTCCTAAAATATCAGTGGCTCACAACAAAAGTTTGTTTTTCCCTAATGCTATTTGACCAATGAGTGACAGAGTTGGACAGGAAGAGGTTGTGCTTACCACATCCACTCAGGGACCCAGGTTGATAGAGAATTCATTTTAATGCTTCCAAGATCATTGCAAAGTGAGAATGAAAGGGGGCAAGTCAGAGCATTGGCTTTTAAAAGTTCTTCCAGAAGTTACACATGACACTTTTCCTCATGGCCATTTCAGTGGCCAAAACAAATCACGCAATTACATATAACTTCATGGAAACAAGGAACTCGTGCCACAAAAGGGAGAGAACCAGAAATACTTGATGAACAGCATTATTGACATCCAGACAGTCACTTGGGTTTATGTGGGATTGACAGATCGTATCAGGGAGTGTTAAATTTAGGAGAGCATCCAGGAAGCTTGTAGGAGTAATACTGGATAACATAGAAATGGACATACTATAGCCTTGTAAATGCTTTTGTAGCTGTGCTTTTAATTCTGAAACATGCAGACTAAATTCATTTGAAGTGTGAGTTAAAGATTTTATTCCTAAGTAATCTCTACACCCAACCTGGGATTTGAATTCACAACCGCAAGATCAACAGTTGCACACTCCACAGACTGATCCAGCCAGACGCCCCCTTCTGATTTCTTATTCTTTCGTTATAACCTATGATTCTTCTTCCTCTTTCTTCCCCACTTTGTACTCTACCTCTGTTTCTTAGGTTACCGTCAGAGTCTTCCGGCTTTAAGTGTTATCCTAATACCAGATTTCTACCTTCTGACCTACTTGTTTTCCAGAGTAGTATATCTACAGATTTAGTTGCCAGCTGGGTATTCAGTTGCCTCAAACTTAAAGAACTCAACTTTTACTAACCATTCCTCTCCCATACTATCAGTTTTTATTAAAGGAACCATAATCTTCCCAATGACAGATTTAAAACTATAGGGTCATTGTGGTTCCTTCTCTCTTTTGTCCCTTATCAGTCCCACCATCACTATCCAAATTTACTTGTTCATGTAGACTTTGGAATAGCACCCTAAGTTATCTATATTCTCAAATTTATTCCAAACACCTGATGCCTGGTTGACTTTTCTAAAGGACAGTGCTGCACATTTACTTCCCTGAACAATAACTCCAAGTGTTCTAACTTGACTTTCTATAATCTGGCTTTAATCTACATTTCTAATTTTGCTGTTTGCTCTATGCATGTCACGTTTCCATATGTCTGCCTCTACTATTCCCTTTGCGTTTTGCATGCCTTTATCCTCATCTGAATCGTACTCATCTTTGAAAGTACAGATGCCACTTTGAAGATCTCAAATACCACTGCTTTTATGATTTCTTCCTTACAGTCTCTCCTCACCACCCTCTGTACTCCCCAAGAGCTGGAAGGAATTTCCCCTCCTCTGAATTTCCATGGTATTTTATCTGAACTGCTCTTATGACTTTGTTACCCACCCTTTCTCTTATATTTATGTGTCAGTCTCCCTAAATCCAGCAACTCTGTTGAGGACTCAGAAGTAAAAGTACTCTAGGAGAAAAAATATCCTTTATGCACCAGTATATCGGTCTACCTCCTCTAAGTTCTTAGGACTTTCTTCATGTTGTTTTGGCGGATTTGGAAATTTCTGGAGGTTTTTCATCTCTGGATATTTGGATATATTGAGGTGAAAAGAGGATAATTGTACTCTTATGTTAGGAATTAGAAGAAATTTATAAAGAATAAAGTTTTTATGTTAGTCATTATAGAAATCATTATAGAAAACTTGTTATAAGTTAGCCATGCTTTTGTTGAGCTGTCAACATGAATCATAAAAAAGTTTTTTATTATGTTTTCTAGATATTATAACTTGGAGGTTTTATCACAGATGTTAAGTAAATGCCAGTTTTTAAAGGATATTCTTTGTTCTTTTTTATTTTTTTTTAAAGATTTTATTTATTTGAGAGAGAGAAAGCACAAGAGCAGGGTGTGAGGGGCAGAGGGAGAAGCAGACTCCCCACTGAGCAGGGAGCCTGATGCGGGGCTCATTCCTGGAACTCTAGGATCATAACCTGAGCCGAAGGCAGATACTTAACTGACAGAGCCACCCAGGCACCCCAAGAATATTCTGTTTTTTTAGAAAAGCAACTACTTGTCCAAAAGTGAATTTCAAAAGTAATTTGAGGGAATCTTCTCACTCTTGAATATACAAAGATTTGGGTTTTAGTTTGGTTTAAGCTTAGTAGTATTTGGGGTTCCTGAATGGCTCAGTTGGTTAAGCATCTGACTCTTGATTTTAGTTCAGATCATGATCTCAGGTTTGTGAGATCAAGCCCTGCATCGGGCTCCAGGCTGGGCATGGAGCCTGCCTAAAATATTCTCTCTCTCCCCCACACCCCTTCTAAAATATATATACCCACACACACAAACACACACATACATATATACACAGAGACATATATAAAATATATATACACACACATATAATACATGTATATGTAATAAAAATAATAAACTTAGTAGTGTTTTTGTCAGGCCAATATGATGGTGCATTAAGAGTCATACATAGTGATTTGGGGAACCCACAGAAGAGTTAACCTACGGAATTCAAAATTAGTAGGAATAGTGAAGTTACTAAACAACTGCACGTGGTTATTACGTAACATCATATAAATCAATGTAACATTAGCTTAAATGTGCACATTGTTAGGGATCAGAGTTAACCTGAAGTTATAAGTTGGGAAATTTAGAGATAAAATTGGGAATCAAGTAATTGACTCTGAACTGGATATGTTTTCCCTCTCTAGAATTCACTTCTCTTTTTTTTTTTTTTAAGATTTTATTTATTTATTTGACAGAGAGATCACAAGTAGGCAGAGAGGCAGGCAGAGAGAGAGAGAGAAGCAGGCTCCCCGCTGAGCAGACAGCCTGATGCGGGGCTCCATCCCAGGACCCTGAGATCACGACCTGAGCTGAAGGCAGAGGCTTAACCCACTGAGCCACGCAGGTGTCCCTAGAATTCACTTCTAATTAACAGTGACTGTGTGGCTAATATTTCTTTGCAGGGTATTTTTACTTAAATTCAGTGGTCAGTGATTTGATTTCCAAAATTCTGACTTCTTTTGTATTTTAAGGTAACCAGCTGTACTTGGATGTTTTTAGGTTCAAGGTAAGGATCCATCAGTGGAAGTCACACAGGACCTCATTGATGAATCAGAAGAAGAACGATTTGAAGAAATGCCTGAAACCAGTCATCTAATTGACCTGCCCACATGTGAACTCAATAAACTTGAAGAGATTGCTGACTTAGTTACCTCAGTTCTCTCCTCACCTATCCGTAGGGAAAAGCTGGCTCTGGCCTTGGAAAATGAAGGCTATATTAAAAAACTACTGCAGCTGTTTCAAGCTTGTGAGAATCTGGAAAACACTGAAGGCTTACACCATTTGTATGAAATTATTAGAGGAATCTTATTCCTAAATAAGGCAACTTTGTTTGAAGTAATGTTTTCTGATGAGTGTATCATGGATGTTGTGGGATGCCTTGAATATGACCCTGCTTTGGCTCAGCCAAAAAGGCATAGAGAATTTTTAACCAAAACTGCAAAGTTTAAGGAAGTTATACCAATAACAGACTCTGAACTAAGGCAAAAAATACATCAGACTTACAGGGTACAGTACATTCAGGACATCATTTTGCCTACGCCATCTGTTTTTGAAGAGAATTTTCTTTCTACTCTTACGTCTTTTATTTTCTTCAACAAAGTTGAGATAGTCAGCATGTTGCAGGTAAGTAAACAAAGTTGTTCTTACGTTTTTTCAGATGCTTACTTCCCTTAATAGTTTGGGCTGGTATTCGTTCCTTTTTGAAAGATTTCTTTTGTTTACTTTAAATATACCGTCAAGTCTAGAAAACAGGACTTTATCTCATGAGTTTTTGAAGGAAGTTCACTTCTTAATGCGACCTTTTACTTTTTTTTTTTTTTTTTTTTTTTTTTTGGTAATTTTATTATTATTTTTTTTTTCCGGTGTTAGCACCACACCCAGTGCTTCATGCAATACATGCCCTCCTTAATACCCACCACAGGCTCACCTAAGCCCCCACCCCGTTCCCTCCAAAACCCTCAGTTTGTTTCTCAGAGTCCGAAGTCTCTCATGTTTTGTCTCCCCCTCTAATTTCCCCCAACTCACTTCTCCTCTCCATCTCCCAGTGTCCTCCGTGTTACTCTTTTTATGCTCCACAAGTGAGACCATATGATAATTGACTCTCTCTGCTTGACTTATTTCACTCAGCATAATCTCTTGATTATGTTTTCATGTTTATACAAAATTTGGGTATCCATCCTTTCCGATGGAGGCATCACACTCCATTGTATATATTGACCACATCTTCTTTATCCAGTCGTCTGTTGAAGGGCATCTTGGCTCTTTCCACAATTTGGCGACTGTGGCCATTGCTGCTATGAACATTGGGTATAGATGGCCCTACTTTCACTACATCTGTATCTTTGGGGTAAATAACCAGTAGTGCAATTGCAGGGTCATAGAGTAGCTCTATTTCTAATTTCTTAAGGAATCTCCATACCGTTTTCCAAAGTGGCTATACCAAGTTACATTCCCACCAACAGTATAAGAGGGTTCCCCTTTCTCCACATCCTCTCCAACACTTGTTATTTACTGTCTTGTTGACAGTAAACCTTTACTGTTGACCTTTTACATTTTTAAGTGTTCTATGATGGAACTTTTTTAAACTTCATTTTTGCATGTATTTTAAAAATTAGAAAATATATATGAGATAAAATTCATCATTTTAACCATTTTTAAGTATATAATTGTAGCATTAAATACATTCACAGTGTTACGCAGCCATCACCACTATCCATTTCCAGAACTTTTTCATCATCTTGAGCAAAAGCAGCTATTTAAAGACTATCTTTTAGTCCATTTTGTGAGACCTAGTTATTATTAGGGGTATATATGAATTTGTATGTGTGCTTGAAGTTTCCCAAACAATTCACATGTGCAGCCAGTACTGAGAAACATTAATTTTCAGGAAATAACAGTTAGACTTTTTACTATGTGAGGTTGGTTTTATTGCCTCCTTCAGTTGCAAAATAGAGGAGTTTATGCCATGTTTTTCATGTTAATCCTTTATACCCTAACAGTGTAGTAAGGATGATTTTGAAGATTTTGTTTTGCTTGTAGTATACTATATCCATAGTTTCCTACATAACTGCTTTTGTTATGTCCATATCACTCATTAAATTTTTCGTGTAGCTTCTGTGTACATAGTGTAGTGGGTTCTCAAGTGTGTTCTTGGGGCTCCTAAAACCCTTTCAGAGAGGTCTGTGAAGTTATTCCTTTTCCAGCTTCTTGTTACTGTGAGGCGATATTTTCTTCATATACTCCAGCCATAACATCACAGACTGGATGTGAAAGAAGATAGGAGAATATAGCTTTCTTCTATTAAGCCAGACATTATAGAAATTTACAAAAATGTAAAACAGAGCCACTTTTTTCTAATTTATAAAATTTGCTCATATAAAATATTTACATAAACTTACAATCACTTATTTCTAGAACAAATTAATGTTTTTAAATGTCTCAGTTGTGATTATAAATATTGATAAACATAATCCACATAATAAAAGCTCTTTTGAGTTCTCCATTATTTTTAAGAGTTTAAAGTGGTCCTGAGACCAAAAAGTTGAGAATCTCTGTCTTTTGTTACTTAGCTATGAGATTCCATTTTATGTTGCTTCCAACTACCATTCACCTTTCTCTTGTTACTGTATTTTCTGTTTAGGATTTACTTCTCTAGATCATTCTTTCACCTCACAGTTTTTCCTTATTCCACAGTAACAGGTATAAGGAAAATTAGACTTAGGAATGAGGTTCCATTTATAGTATATAGGACCTGCTTTTTAAAAAAAAAAAAAAAAAAAAAAAACCGGGGCACCTGGGTGGCTCAATGGATTAAGCCTCTGCCTTCAGCTCAGGTCATGATCTCAGGGTCCTGGGATCGAGTCCCGCATCGGGCTCCCTGCTAAGCAGGGAACCTGCTTCCCCCTCTCCCTCTGCTCCTCCCCCTGCTTGTGCTCTCTCTCTTTCTCCCACTCTCTGTCAAATAAATAAATTCTTAAAAAAAAAAAAAAACATACTTACTGTACAATTCAAGGTCCCATTTGACTTGCTAACTTCTGTTACAGTTCAGGAGTTTGGAAGTAGACTCAGTATAAGCTGATGTAAAGAACTCATCGACAGCAAACTCAAGTGCAGAAGCTTTCAGATGACTGCTTTTGACTTCAGAAGGGTTTCTAAATCTATAATACTTGATCATAAATGCTTTTTTTTTGTTTTAAAAAATAAATTATGCAAACTAATCTATAAATACTTATAGTGTCATTTTATGTATTTTGTTATAGAACTATTTATAAAGGCTGTAATTATATAAATCACATGTAGCTTTAAGAAAAGAAAGTCTTACTCATTTCTGGTCCATTAGATGAATTTATGAAATAGATACTGTGAATTACCTGTTGTTTATCCAGGTTTTACCACTTAGTTATCTCTTATATGTCAGCAGTGATGCTGAATGCTTTTTTTTTTATTCTCAACAGTATGTGAGAACAGAGGAATTAGGATTATGGTGACTGGCCTCTAAAGGCTCATTTCCTAAAGCCCAGCTCTGAGGCTTCCATGTACAAATTTTTTGTCTAGGTATTAGATATTTCCAGATACCCTTCTAGGTAGAATGCATATCTGTAGCTTTATTTATTTGAGAAAGAAAGAGCAAGCATGGGCACACACGTATGAGCTGGGGAGGAGGAAAGAATCTTCAGCGCCAGCTGTGGGGCTCCATCTCAGAACCGTAGCCAAAACCAAGAGTCAGAGGCCTAATTGACTGAGCCACCCAGGCGCCCTGATAACTATAGCTTTTTAAATGAGTATTAACTTTCTGTATGAATTACATAAGCAAGTAAAAATTCTGTTTATCTGTACCAAAATAAGTAAGTGTGAAGGTACATAAAATAACTCCTAGCCTGAATTAGGTTAATTAACAGAAATTATATGAAAGTACTTACTGTGATCACTGGCTCCTGGTATGTGCTCTAATACATGTTGAGATTCTCTTAAGCTTGATTGGGGCATAAGAGTTTAGTTAACCTTAACTTTCTAACTAACTGCAGATCAAAATCCCATGTGCCCAGAATTGAGAAATATTCTTAAAAATGTTTTAAAAATTAAATTTCTTACAGCCAGTAAAGTGAGGTTATTTTTACACAGAGAGCTACAGATAAGATCCTTTTCACGACAGGAAGTTTTAACTTCTTCCTTCACTAGGAATGGTGGAGGACAGGTATCGCAAATGTTGACATTTTAACATATATATTTTCACTATTTCATAAATGAGAATTGAGTCAAAAACCAGTGAAATCAGTAGTTTAGTTCTTTTTTGACATATTTTGTGGATTTCAGCACTAGAAAAGGAAATTTCTAACCTTTCTTCCCAGTTACTAAGTAAATATATAAAATCTTTCAGTTTCTTTAAGAAAACAACTTACAGGGGCGCCTGGGTGGCTCAATGGGTTAAGCCTCTGCCTTCGGCTCAGGTCATGATCTCAGGGTCCTGGGATCGAGCCCCACATCGGGCTCTCTGCTCAGTGGGGAGCCTGCTTCCTCCTCTCTCTCTGCCTGTCTCTCTGCCTACTTGTGATCTCTGTCAAGTAAATAAATAAAATCTTTAAAAAAAAAAAAAAAGAAAACAAGTAATACAGTTCTTAATATAGTTCTCCATTTTGTTTTAGAGGTTTTTGAACTCATACAGGATTTAACATATTCCATTTTATCTTACTAGATTTGGCCTATTCTACTTTGTTATGTATGTTTTACTTTGGTTTGTTGCATAATAATGACTACTTAGGATTCTGACCTATAGTTTATTATACAGTGGGAATGACAAAAATCTCATCATGCCAGAGACCTGAGTTCTAAATCCATTTCTGTTACTAGACAGCCTCAGATAAGTCCACTCTTTGGACATCAGTCTCTTGAAATTTAAAATTAGACTACGCAATCTGTGTAACCTTTTAAAGCCTGATCTAATCTAAATTTCTGCATTAGATGAGTAATGGTAAATGGGTTCTGGGTTTGGGTGGTGTTGTTATTGTTGTTCAAATAAACTCCGCATCCAGTGTGGGTCTTGAACTCGGAACTCTAAGAATAAGAGTTGCATGCTCTACTGACTAAGTAAGCCAGGCACCCCTGGGTTTTTGGATTTTGAGCCTATGCCTATTTTTATATTACTGCAAAGAAAAGTTTGATTCAGACTTTATAAAAGTGGCTCTTCATTCCCCCATAAGATTTTGCTGTGTAAGTCAAAAAAGTAGCCACACACAATTTGTCTTAGAAGTTATGTTTTATTAAAAACAAAGGCTTTTAAAACTAAATAAAAAAGAAAAACTAAAGTTATCTAAAGAGACTAGTTTGATTACTTAGAGAAACAGGTATTTAGGGGGAAACATTATAGCTGTATTTATAATGGACTTATAAATTGTCAATTACTTTTTTTTTTTTTTTTAAGATTTTATTTGTTTGAGAGAGAGAGCTCTAAAGCTCACAGGCGGGGCGGGGGCGGGGCAGGGGGAGAAGAGGAAAAGGGAGAAGCAGACTCCCCACTGAGCAGGGAGCTTGATTCAGGGCTCAATCTGAAGACCAGAGTCTGAGCCAAAGGCAGATGCTTCACTGACTGAGCCACCCAGGCACCCCAGTTAATTGCTTTTTTAATGTACATCGGAACAGAGTGCTTCTGTAGAGTATTATCAAGAGTAAGTTTAGGAATCAGAAAAAATTAATATAATAAGAGTTAAAATATTCTCCTAGCAGCCTATTATACTTGAAATTTCCTCCATAATACATTACACAGTTCTAGCTGTCAGCACACAAATAATGAATCGTGGAAGAAATTGCATTTATCAAAAATTGAAACTATTTTCCTATGAAAGTATTCTCCAAAAAAGTTAAAAAAAAAAAAAAACTTCTAGACAAGAAAGGAAAATTTAATTTGGGAGAGATGGAAGAAGAAGAAATTTATAAAAGGTTTAAGTGGAAATAAATGCATAGTTATTCACCAAAACCTAAAATACTGAGATGAAAAGTATTTGGAAAAAGTAATCTGAGAAGTAAGTATAATGCTATTGAATTCTCTCAGAAAAAGATGGTTCAGGCCATGGTATATAAGGTCTAGAAGAAGTCAACAAAATAAAGAACAAAAGAAACACCATTCTGAGTTAGACTAATGAACCAGGGAAGGGGGGTGGTTTTGAGTAACATTGATGAGTGGTTAGTGGGAAAATAGGTTACATTGTCCATGATCCTATCTAGTGGTTTTTACTCATATTTTTTATATATACACTTTTATCTTTTTTTAGAAAAACTTAAGGAATTGATACTGCTTCACCGATGATCCACCTTAAGTAAAATGGCGGGTATTTAAGGCATATGCTTAACATGTCATGATTTGATAATCAGCCATGAAGATATCACTATTATGAACATCTTAGAACATGCTACCTTAATTAAAATTAATGCAAGTTATATTTCATAAAAGTGAATTTTAAAAATAAAATTCTGAAATATACTTTTATATATAAAATTTTCTGGGGCACCTGGGTGGCTCAGTGGGTTAAAGCCTCTGCCTTCAGCTCACATCATGATCCCAGGGTCCTAGGATTGAGCCCCACATCGGGCTCTCTGCTCAGCGGGGAGCCTGCTTTCTCCTCTCTCTCTCTCTGCCTGCCTCTCTGCCTACTTGTGATCTCTGTCTGTCAAATAAATAAATAAAATCTTAAAAAAAAAAAAAGCACAGGTTTCTTTTTGTTTTAGATTTCTTTTTAATTGTATTTTTTCACTGTTCCAAAATTCATTGTTAAAAGCACAGGTTTTTTTTTCTTAGCAGGTTTTTTGGAAATCTCCAAAGTGAATTTCAGTATTCATGTCAGTTTTTTCCTTTGTAATTTAATAGTCCATACTTATTTTGAAAAATAAGAAAATATAGATAAACAGAAAAGCACTCATAATCCATCACCAAAAGATAATCACAATTAACACTCTAATGTTTACCCCTTTTAGACTTTAGACACACAAATTCATATTAAAAATAAGATGATACAATACATACCCCACGATATTTTTGTTTGTCCTTGTAAACCGTGCTTATAGAAACTAACACATATCTGCCCTATAATACCTCAGAGTCATCAGTGTGAAAAGCAGTTACTGTGTTTTATCATTTAGTTTTATCCTTGGGAACCACAAGAAGATGTAAGCCTGTACCCCAAATGGCCCTAGATAATTATATTTTGTGAGTTCTTATATTTTAAAAGGCTTTGCAGTCTTAACCACTGCCAGAATTCAGTCTCCTTTACTGCTTTTCCTGTGCCATATTTGTAATTTCTCATTTTTCTAATCTATGGTGGATTGACAATGAGATCTTCAAACTTGTTTGAATTATATTTAAATTAAAAGTAAATAAATGGGGGCTTCTGGGTGGCTCAGTCGGTTAAGCATCTGCCTTTGGCTCAGGTCATGATCCCAGAAGTCGTGATCCCAGGGTTCTGAGATGGAGCTCCTCTTCTGGCTCCCTGCTCAGCAGGAGGTCTGCTTCTCCCTCCCTCTGCCTCTTCCTCAGTTTGTGCATGCGTGCGCACTCTCTCTCTCTCCTCTCTCTCTCTCTCTCTCACTCCCTCTCAAATAAATCCTTAAAAAAAAAAAAAAAGTTAATGAATAGACCCTGACAGGGAGCTGCAGATCCTTTAACTATAGAGTTAAAATACGTGAGTTTTCATGCATGACTTCTAGAACATAACTGGTCTCCCCACTCTGCCCCCACCAAGGGTTCTTTATAGCTGAAGTTTCTGGTTAAATGAGGTATTAACGTATAACTAATACTAAATGGTATAGTCAGGGTTTGAAACTTGTAGCATTAATTTTTTCTTTTTTTAATTTTATTTGACAGAGATCACAAGTAGGCAGAGAAGCAGGTGGGGGGGCGGGGAAGCAGACTCCCTGCTGAGCAGAGAGCCTGATGTGGTGCTCAATCCCAGGACCCTGGGATCATGACCTGAGCTGGAGGCAGAGGCTTAACCCACTGAGCCACCTAGGCACCCCTAACAGGAATTTTAAGTTTCATGATGAAACTATTATTAGGTTTTCAGCTTTTTTTATTATAATTGGTGTAAATCATACAAATGATTGTAACTTTTTATATTACACTGTTTCATAGTAATTATTTCTTCTCATGTAGGAAGATGAGAAGTTTTTGTCTGAAGTTTTTGCACAGTTAACCGATGAGGCTACAGATGATGATAAACGGCGTGAATTGGTAAGTTATTTATTGAAATTTGAACCTTTAAAGAACACTTAACTTTTGGCATATACAGCTTTTAATATTGAGTTCATTAAGAGAATTTTTTATAAATATGAGATGAAAGATACATATTTATATTTTATAATTATTCTCTAGGTTTCTCCTACCTACTGTGTTGTATATTTACCAGTTTCTTAAAGTATCTTGATGTGATTTTTACCCTGCAGTGAGGGGACTTACGTGTCTTACAAAACCCAAAATTAGGTACAGGGTTTATGTTAGGACAGAATTGCAAACTCATATATTTTTATAGCTATAGTTACATTATAGAACAGCTCTTTTTTTTTTTTTTTTTTTTTTTTTAGGGGGGAAAAAAGGTAAGAACCGTGCTTCTTGACTAAATGCATGATAAGTAATTTGGTTCTTGGAAATGTTTTTTTTCTTTTAAAAATGTATGTATTTTCTGAGGTATAACTCATGCTTTGGAGGAAGAAACTGCTAGTAAATTGCTGTTTACTAGCAGTTTGTCATTTTTTAAAATCAGGTGCTTGGGTTTTAAAAAAGAATTGAAGAAAGATGCGGACTTAAAGTCAGCCAAGTCATCTTGGTATAGTTGATTGCCTACTCGGTTTTCTCATTTATAAAATCAGTCTTTAAATTCGGGAATGTCTAATGTCCTTTCCAATTCTTAAAAACAGAATTGTACTTTTGAGAGCTCTCTGAGAACCCAGCCTCCATTTGTTATACAGCATGTTTCTGTGAAAGTACATGGCTGTAATTCAAGATTACATGCCTTACGTGACATTTTTGCACCTAAATCGTTAGTTAAGAATATTATATCTGCATTCACCCTCTGGGACTCTACATATAACATGTACACTGTAATGTCTTTGGAGAGTTCATTGTTCAGTGTTCAGAAATAATGCAAAGTTCACTTTTAGAAAGATGCTAGTTTTTTTGTTTTGTTTTGTTTTGTCTTGTTTTGTTTTAAGATTTTATTTATTTATTTGACAGAGAGAGAGAGAGAGATCACAAGTAGGCAGAGAGGCAGGCAGAGAGAGAGGGGGAAGCAGGCTCCCTGCTGAGTAGAGAGCCTGATGCAGGGCTCCATCCCAGGACCGTGAGATAATGACGTGAGCCAAAGGCAGAGGCTTAACCCCCTGAGCCACCCAGGTGCCCCGAGATGCTAGTTTTTAATATGTTCTTTGAATACAGCTTTAAAGGAGCCAGGACACCCTAAGAAATCAAGGTCCTTGAGAAGGGCATATTATACTGTGGTACATCACATTAAAGTGTGCCCCAAGTTTGCTCTTATGTGTGTCAACTTCTGACTTTATTTTCTAATATTACAGGTTAACTTTTTCAAGGAATTTTGTGCATTTTCTCAGACATTACAACCTCAAAACAGGGATGCATTTTTCAAAACTTTGGCAAAGTTGGGAATTCTTCCTGCTCTTGAAATTGTAATGGTAATTATATGGTTTCTTTTCATGTTTCTGAAGTTGTGAATTTGTAGTACTTCTATATTATGTATGTGAAAATATTTATTATAGTAATGCATATTGAATTATATATATTAGCTTATGATTCACTTAATAGCAAATTACTATCAAATAATTCACAAGTGTGTGTTCAGCTTTTGGATTTTTATTAACTTAAATTTGTAATATTAATATGTAAGTACCTCCATATAATATGGCTTCAAGTGAATAAAAATCCTGCATGTTTTTTCAGGACTGTTATTTGTTCTGTAACAATATTATGTTTCATAGAAACTATTAAAATACCTTTTGTTTTTAGACCAGTGAGTAGATGGAGGACAGACTGGACCAAGGTGGCTCATGCTGCAGTATGGTTTAGGGCAGTGGTTCTCACATAATTGTTTATATAATTTTTATCCATTGGTGTTGTATGAAAAATTGAAACTGAAAATTTTTAAAAATACTTATTTAAGATGATAAACATATTTTACAAATAATATAACTTTTATGAAAAAATAATTTTCCAGAAACAAAAAAAATCTTAGTGAGGAGTGGCATTTCACCTTTTTTGCCCATCCGTTTAACATTTGGTGTAAGAGAAGACAGCTAGATTCTCATAGCAATTTCTGCATTTGATTTGTTGTGATATCATATGTCTTGTAGCCTCTGGAAAACCCCACTATACTTGTGATATACTGAGAGTGAAAAGGGCCAGTAATGCCCTAGTATTGTTTATTTTTATGAAAATAGTTTTAATCTCATGCACGTCCCTGGACCACACTTTGAGAATGAGTTAAAGAATGTTTTCAGAATCACTTGAAGATTTTGTAACTTTTGAGTCATTTATCCTTCATCTCTCAAAGAGGGAAAAGCATTCAGGATCACTACCTTAGAAAACTAAGATATGGACAAAGAGTAAAAATACCCAGAGTGCTTTTCAAAAGCATCTTCTGTTAGGAGAGTCATAAAAGAGAGAATCAGTTTCTGAGGAGTAACTGGCAAATTCAGGACCAAAGACAGATTCTGGAAAATTTTGAAGTCTTAACTAGGTAACATCATTCACATATTGCATATATGTAAATACAAAAAAAAATTTATAGCATTTGTAAAGTATAATAGTATAATCCTATGCTGATTCCTAAATATTGCTAAATATTCTCTGAATATTTATCTTTCTGATGGCAAAAACTAAAACTAATTGAGCTGCTTTAAAGCTTTTAATATTTATACAAGGGAAGGAAGAAAAGATTCCAGTACAATGTCTAAATCCAAATACTTGGTGTGTATAGATTTGGGAAAGAAAGGGAATGTGGCATAATTTTCGTTAACAGTCTTTAACCCAATTTTCCTTTTACCAGGGCATGGATGATTTGCAAGTCAGATCAGCAGCTACAGATATATTTTCTTATCTAGTAGAGTTTAGCCCATCCATGGTCCGAGAATTTGTAATGCAAGAAGCCCAGCAGAGTGATGATGTAAGTAATAATGCTCTGGTTCTGTGTGAATTACCTCTACTGTTTGCATACTATTGAGAAAAAAAGATAACTACAATCTAAATCTTCAGTGAAGCAAAATAGATTTCTGATCAGCTACGGCTTCAGCAAGCCTAGAATATGTGGCATTTGATTTGTTTATTTTAAAAAGCTGTATGCAAACTCGAGTTGAGATAGATTATAATAGAATCAAATTCTTCAAAAAAGTTCAAGTCTAATGATGTGTAATTTCAAGCCCCTTACGTCAATCACTTCTAATAATACTAACAAGTTGTCTTCACTTGTTCAAATGTGTCTTTTTTTCCCATGTGAATAAATGTTTATTAATGAGACCAGTGTATTTTCCCACTATAGAAATACTTAAACTTTCCCCTTAAACTCTTTTAAGGACAAATGAGCATATAGCTGTAATTTAAAGTACCCTTTCTTACATCAAGTATAGTTTAAATAGAAAATAAATATGATTATGTTCCATCCTAAAAAAGATTTTGATTTCTGTTAATTTGACCCTTGTTACGAGTCACTGTTGAATTAAACTACAGTTTTTTTATATGTTTTGTGTTTAATCTCTTACTCTCTCCTTAGATTTCCACATTCTTAGTTAGATTTTTCCAGTGTTGTTTTTTTTTTATTTTTAAGCAATTTTATTTTAGAATCCATTTGAACTAATGCTGCAGTTTTAGGCAGTACAAAAGAAATAGAAGAAATCTTTATATTAAGTATGTTTTAAGGTGTTTGGTTTTTTTTTTCCTTCATCCCAAATGGTACTACATCTGACTTCAAAGAAATAAATACCTGGTTTATTAATCAGTTTATAATCTCACTGTTGGTATGTGTATCTTTGTGCCATCCTTTACAAAAGGTAACTTTGAATTTAACACTCTTAATTGGTGCATTCTCAGTGATGTGTATGATTAAGGACATTCATTATAAAATTGCTTCAGATCATGAAAGTAGTAAACTTTTAAAATTCTTAACTCTGAAAGCTTTTATTTCTGTTTTCATTAGAAATATTTCCTTGTTTATATTCAGTTGATGAATGAGACTTAGAGAAGCAATTACTGATCTTTAACTATGTAAAGTTCCTTTCTCAGTCTTTTTCTTATAATCCTAGTCTTCAAGGTCTTCAAAGTCTTTCCCCAGATTTTCTGAGATCTAGCAGTTTAACAATTTAAAAATTCTGTTGCCTCAAGATAATGGAGTTAGACCACAAAAGAGGATAAAAAATTTTTTTTCTTCAAAATTAAGGATTCTGCATGCTAAATTCTTTGTTGACTTCTGGTAACCTTTGAAAAAAGACTTACCTGTGTATTTGGTTGGCAGTTGCTATTTTGGAGCCCTTTTAAAGTAAATTCACAACATTCGAACTTTTCTTTCCAGTATTATGAAGCAGATTTGTTTTAGGAACCTGGATTACATATTAAAATACGTATTAAGCAACAGGAAATACTAACATTTTTTACTGTAGTCATTTTTTCTAAGCTAGACAGATAACAGGAATAATTGCTGTCTTTTTGTTATTCCAGAGATTTCACATATTTTTATGCTAATGTTCTTTGAACTGCTCAGTAAAACTTATTTTAGAATCTCACGGGATAAGTAAGCAACTATTACTGAACCACTTATTTTGGCAGGTATTTTCACTGTACTTCTCACTTAAAAATAAACTCATGTTAATTTTTAAAGATACGATAATCTCATTGGGATTTTTTTAAGAGTTCTTATTTTGTAAAGTTTTATACTGAAATACTTAACAGAATTATATATGTGGAATTTACAATAATTCTGGAAGATGAAATTTGCCATAATAAAGTTAAAAAATACATAAGCTAATCTCTGAGCTAACTATTTGATATTTTATATGGAACATAACGCGTTTCTTAAAATTGCATCCATTTTTTAACTTTTTGTTTTGAAATAATTTTAAATTTACAGAAAAGTTACAGTAATAGTACAAAGAACTCCCATATACACTTCACCCAGATTCCCAGTTGTTAATATTTTATCTCTAATTTGCCTTATTCTTTCTTTGCTTATATTTGTATATACACATTTACCTACAGAAATAATTATTTTTGTTTTAAATCATTGAAGAATAAGGTACAGAAATGATCACAAGGTGTCTTTTTACCCGTATCTACTTCATTGTCTAGTAAAATTATCAAAATCAGGAAGTTAGCATTTTTACAGTATTAATATCTAACTGCAGTCCTACCTCAGATTTTGTCCATTGTCCCAGTAATATTCTTTTTAACCAAGACAATACTGAAAATTTTCTGGTCTAGTGTCCAACAATTTGGACTTGTCTGATGTTTCCCCATGATTTGATTTAGGTTATTTCTTTGTATCAGAAATGGTACAGAAGTAATGTTTTCTTTAGCGCATCACATCAAGGAATTCCCTTAAAATTAAAAAATGAACTGAAAGGGGTTTTTTTGTTCAGACTATTTTGCTGTTTCACAGACTTAAGGAATTGGACCATTAAGTTCTGTAGAATTTGAAGAGCTGCTTTTGCTTTCTTCTGACATGTCAAATGGATCAAAAGAAGTATTGTTTTTCTAATTATTTTAGCCCTCATTCAAGTTGCTGCAGAACAAATTTCACGTGCATTTTTAAAATAATTTATACATTTAAAAAACAAAGATGTTTCCACAACATCCATCAGTTTTTATTCTACTTCAGAATAATGTTCCTGCTCCTATCATTCTTTCTTTTCCTCTTATTTACTATATTCATGGGATCTAAGATACATGGATGCTAATATTTTTTTTTTTTAAGATTTTATTTATTCACTCGACAGAGACCACAAGTTGGCAGAGAGGCAGAGAGAGAGGGGGAAGCAGGCTCCCTCCCCACTGAGCCACCCAGGCGCCCCGATGATGCTAATATTTTCTTGATCTTACCAGGAAGTGTTAGTGGAAAAATTTTCATTTGGCTTTTTGTCATGCTTGCCACGTAGCTTATAATAACTATCTAATGCCATAGATTATAAAATGTATCTCAGTATCAAGAAGTTAAAAGTTTTAAGAAATCTTAGAACAATGAAATGAAGTATGTTCTTTATCTTTCCCAATCAGAAAATAGAGATGCCAACTGATAACCTGAATAATCTCTCAATTCCATGTGTAGGTACCCAGAACTTCCCCGCTTTTGCTGATTATTTTTTGCAATATTGCAAATTCTTAAACCCACAAAACTGTACTTTAAATAACAGTATGTGCTTCTAAGACTAGTATGAGGTTAGAGTGTGATGAAACCAATGGGAATATTATTTCTCTAAAACTTTGATTTAGACATAACTAAAACCTTGAAAAATCTCTCGGAAATCTTGGTTAAACTCACTTGAATGTTGCTATTTAGGTGAAGGATAGCAGACTTTCCTTAAAAGGCCAGAAGATAAATAAGACTTGATGAGCTCTTTGGTATCTGTTGCAATTACTCAACCCTGCCATTGTAAGAATGAATTGTCCAAAGATGGTGTAGCTATGCTCCAGTAAATATTTTTAACTTTAAACTTTTTTTTTTTAAGATTTTATTTATTTATTTATTTATTTGTCAGAGAGAGAGAGAGAGAGAGAGAGAGCGAGCGAGCACAGGCAGACAGAGTGGCAGAGGGAGAAGCAGGCTCCCTGCGGAGCAGGGAGCCCGATGTGGGACTCGATCCCATGACACTGGGATCATGACCTGAGCCAAAGACAGCAGCTCAACCAACTGAGCCACCCAGGCGTCCCTACCTTACAACTTTATGTACAAAGTAGGCAACCAGCAAAATGGTCTTGTGGTTTGCCAAGCCCTAACTTAGACCCCTTTCTCAGAATATTGCAAGACAGTGATGGTGGCATTCAAAGTCTGACTCTGAGGTTGTAACTGCAGAAGCTACTATGGCAGTGTAAAAAGAAGTTAAAAGAGAGAACATAGGAATAAGCAGTCTTCAATGGAAAGAAAGTCATTGGGCACTCTTAATTAAGATTATAAATTTAAGAGAGGTGGAGAAAAAAAATTATATATATATATATATATATATATATATATATATATTTAAGAGGGTGTTCCCTAGAATAGATTTGGTAGTCCAGCATTGACACATATTAACTAGAGTTACTCTATAATGGTTTGTTTGCACATCAAGTCAACATTTGATTTTAAGAAGGAATTTTCCAGTGGTTTTTTGTACCTCTTCATTATATAGCTGCACTTGCTTGAGCGTGAATTTTTTTCTAGCTTGAGTAATGTCATTGTTGGGGAAGCAGGTCAAGGAAAATTGGATTTGTTTGTATAATATTTTAATGCTACCAGTAAAGAACTCCAGCAAACAGCTTTAGAAATCAGACAGTTCAACTCTAGCTAGCTTGAATTTTGAAAGAGTGATCCAACTTATAGTGATTTTTCTATTCCATTTCCTTTGTTCTGCCATTGGAGAAATAGGTATGGGAGAGTTAATAAGGTCACTTAGATAGTTTTGTATCTTAGATGGCTGTACTGCAATTAGAGAGGCTGGGTCCTTTGATTCAGCTCTTCCTTCTGTTCACCAGGGCTTGCTCCATTATGTTAACTAAGAAATGAAACATGCCTTACAGAAAACTTAAATGTTGTTAAGACTTTTATTTCATAGACGTATGTTCAACCATTCATTAATTGTTTCAGAACTATTTGTTCATTGTTTCTGAAAATACCATTACTTTTGAGTGGGTGTAGTCATGCATTGTAGTGGACTAATTATAATTACTTACTGAGGTGGGTGTACCTCTGGAATAAGATTGTCTTGCTGTCCCATACTGCTCTATGGGGCAGAAACTATAAATCTGTGGTTAATTCTAGTATTTCAGGAGTTGATTTTTACTTAGTTTGGCAGGATCCAGTAATATAATAGTAGTAGTAGTAATAGTAATAATAATAATAGAACCTGATATGTATCCTAGGGCTTACCTCGTTTTTTCCCATCTTTCTTTTACTGGCCATTGTCTACTGTATTACCAACTGTG